ACATCCATGCAGTGTGAAACCAGTCGATAAATATAGATTTTCGAGATTCGAACTGGTATCGTAGCTAGTATTGAGGCTACTAAAGTTCCACATGAAAGTGTATTTTGGGTGTGGGTGTGTGTGGCTGTAGGGTGTGTGGGTGTGGCTGTGGGTGGGTGTGAGGTGTGAGTGTGGGTGTGAGTGTGGGTGTGGGTGTGAGTGTGGCTGTGGTAGAGATGAAGATACACACCAACACCCACTCACACCCCGCAGCTATATTCACACCCTTAGTAAGAAAATCGATATATGCATTTGTATCATCAAATATTTTGACTGTATTGACAATACATCGAAGCTTATTCATTGATATACTAGTGTTTTCTCGAATTCATTTATATTAGAATTCAATTAAATAACAAGAAAAGTTTCAGCAGCACGAAATCGTGTAAACCATGGTCAAGTAGACTTCTTTTTTTTTTATTAAATTGACATTAATATCTGCATTGACTTGATCAGTGGTGTGATCCGATAATTTGGAAATTGATTTCAATTATTCAGATGATGCTATGTCGAATTTAAATCTTTACCAGATGTTGTAATGTTGATTTCCACACTCAGTTAATTGTATGTGTGTACATACATTGCTTTGATACATAATCATATGATTCAGTTCTTTTCACTCACGAAACACTAAAAAAATTCCACTTTTCTATTAGAAGATAGAGAAAACGTGGGTAAGTAAAAAATAAATACAGTCAAGTAATATAGCGATTATATAGCTATAGCATTTTTTTTTCTTGTACCGCAGGTATTCATATATGTTCATGTGCTTCTTTTTTGATTTCTCTCAAGTAGGAAGTTATTTCATCCTATGTTGAAACTTTCCATCTAGTCTCTTTCCGATGTTGATTAAGCACCACTTCAAATTACTATTCACAGCATAACAAGGCGGTAAATGATTGTTTCTTACTGTTTCCTTGACATTCGAGTTCTCCTGTAAAATTGTTCTCCACAAAATTTCGATTAATATTGATTATTTATTGCATTAATAATGTGTTTTATATCGGATGTGAGTGTGGGTATTTTTCATCTTTGCATCCACAGCCACACTCTACGCTTACACGTCACACCCACCCCATACTCTCATTAAAAAAAATATATTTTATGTTCTCGTATCTTTGTCGATGAGTAGGCCTCGATAGGCCAATGCGATGAGGCGAGAAAGACTAAATTCTAACATTGCATCTGATTCGAGTTCTTGGGCTTCATGAATAGCTTGTGCTTGTGAAGTAATCGGTTTCAGACAAGGTAGCGTGCCAGAAATGATCACATGTGCATTTTCTATGATATTTGTATGAGCAAATAACACATTAGATTCAAATGTTGAGCAACATGTTTGTGCTAGTCGATCAAAGGCATCCGTGTTAGAAAGATTAGCGTTTGTCGCCAAACAACCATCGCTATTTAAAATACCACTTATATTGAGAAAAAATTGCGCAGTATTCATGTGAGCAGGCATTGCTTCTTCATCAAATGCATCAATAAAAACGATGTCATATCGATGAACTGTTTCGCTCACATATCGAAAACCATCATCTTCTATGACCTATTCAAATAGAAAAGAAAAAAAAACGCAGGCGTTAATTTGATGTTGAATAGCAATAGAATAAGGAAACAAACATGTAAGTAGCTATTTGCCATCATCTCGGTAAGATCGAAAAATTCAGAAGCTAATTCAATAACTGTCTTGTCTATTTCGACCACATGAATTAGAACTGATGGAAAATAATGTCGAATGAGCATGGGCAAAATGCCACCGCCAAGGCCGATGATAAGTACATGTTTTGCTTTTGGTTTGCATATAAATGGAATAAAAAATAATTTGATATAAATATCGCACGGTCGAAACGGGTGCCGCAAGTCGATACCCGACTGCCAACCCAACCATCCATTTTCTCCAAAATAGAGGACAAGGATGTCATCATTAAATCGTCCAACAGTTACATTGTACATGCCCAACGATGATTGACGTTCAGCAAAAAGCAGTTGTGGAGGTTCACAGCCGTGGTGAACAGTAACACGTTTTGTTGGCGAACCAGACCAATCAGTGTGCGCTGCAAATCGGTCATGAGGCAAGGCAAGTGAACAGGGTGCCAGACGGTTATGACCGATGAATGTCACCCCGGGTAGTACGATTGACATTGGCTTGAAAATACAACTTGGACCAATGGTGACAGGTCGAAGTTTGAGACGACGCTGTTCGAAGGTGTGACACTTTCAAATAGCAGAAAACCCTTTATATGACATTGTTCAAGTGCATGTACTTAATAGCATACCTGTATTTCAGATGTGGACGACAGACGTGAATGATTACCAATAGTGATCAAATGGACATCGTATACCGTTTTCATATCATCGATAATGACATCATCACCAATTCGTGTGCCAAATCGTCGAAGAACAAGAACGAGCCATTGCGTACCGCCTAACAAATAGCCTACCCATTTGGTGTATTGAATAAACAGCGTCATTGCTAATGTGGTATGCCAATCGTTCTTCGCCTCTTCAAGTGATTGATCACGTCCAGTCTCTCCAAACTTGTCATCCATTAGGTGTGCGTAAACAACATTAGCAATAAATGTGTATATAATCAAAAAGACGGGTGTCGTCAACAGAAACAGATTGAGACTGGAAGTTATCTTCAGTGCCAAAATGACTGATGCGACAAGCAGAAAAATGTTGGCAAAGTCCATAATCATTTGTTGAAAGTCGTCAATGATTGCTCGTTTTGTTGATTGTATAGGTTTTCTCGCTGTGTGCGATTGATCAGCGTCTGGCAAAACGAAAGGCATGACACGAGCCGGGATACCAAGAAGAATATCACCTAAATCGCAAAACCCAATCAATAGAATAGATTTACTTGTCTATGCGTCAGAGAAACATCAACAACAAAAAAAATGAATTCCACTTACCTTCCTCCGTATTACTGATCATCAAATCAACTCGTGCCAAACAACCCACAACAACATCTGCCGAAAGGCGAACTCCTGATCGAATGACACAACTATCACCAAGGAACGACCCATGACCAATCTGAATATGACCAGTAACGATGCATTGACCATTTGTTGTGACATCATATGGAATAAAGCAAACGTCAGATGTGATCGTCACACCATGTTCGATTACCAGTAGATTTGGTGGTATCATCAAAAGTGGAACAAAATGTGCGATCTCGATGTCGTCGAGCTCTATAGAGGCACCGAGCCACCGAAGAATGAACGGAGTAAAAGAATTAAATTCATCAAAAATAGTTGACAGGCAAGGAGCAAATGAACTAGTAACTAAGTGACGCAGCCAGAACTGACAAAGAAACTGCCAAGAGTTGAGTGAATGGGAGAAGTTTTCTTGAATATGGCCAACAGTAAATCGAAGAATAAGAAGACCTGCGCTTGCACCGAAAACTGACCAGATAAACCAACAGATTGGCAAACTCAAACACAGTGGTAGCCAATACGCAGCAGACCAACTTAATTTAATAATGAATACATGCATACTAGCCATTGCAAGGATAGCAACAAGCTGGAAGAAAGACTGATCACGCCGCCTTAATGTGCATAGGGAAAATTCTCCTTCATGTATTCCTAAAACTCGACCGGTGACAGCTGTCAATGGTTCGATAAGAACGCGATCATGCATATCGACTCGATCATGAAGAACACATCGAGTTCCAATTGAACAGTGAGATCCAATATGAATCTCATGTAAAGCATAAGTACGATCGTGATATGTGAGAGAAGAAAGAATGACTTCGATGCCAATATAAGTATCATCTCCGATCTCGAGAAGCCAAGGTGCATCTATTTGACTGGAGTAAATATGTGTTCCATTGCCGATGCATGCGCCACATAGACGAAGATAAGTATTGTAAAATGGAGTACCTAGCAGATGACCAAGCCAATATGTATTGAGTGACCATTGTCGTCGTAGAAACCACAAACGATAGTAACGCCATGAATATAGTATGTCTTGACCTCGTTGAAAAGGTCCGCCCAACAGTTTTATGAATATGGGATATTGCAGTAAGTGCATCAATGGGACAAACAGTACTTGGAGAAAAAGAAAATCTAATTTAGTTGCCACAAAAATTGGCCACAGCCATTGCCATGTGAGTAGAAAAATGCCAATTGTTTCGATAAACCATGACGAACGAGGTCGAATAGAAAAGTCAACATCATCTTCTTGCTTCTCTTGATCAGGCTCGACATTGGAAAGCGCTGATTCTAAAACTACGGCTAATTCTCGCACAGATGGATTTGCAAATAGTAGACCAATATCCATTTTCTCAAACACTTCTTGACGTATAAGATTGAGTGCATGCATTGCACCCAATGATGTGCCACCTAACTGACCAAATGTGTTTTCTATATCTGGTAGCGACTTTAAACGAAATGCTCGAACAAAAATGTCTTGCAATTTTCTTTCAAGTGATGACAAAATTCTCGTCGTCTGTTGCTCATTGGGGAAATCTACGGCCTGCAGTGCAATCGTTCCTAATGCATTTCGGTCTATTTTACCATTTGGATTTAGCGGTAATTCTGGAGCAAACAACCATTTCGATGGAATCATGTATGAAGGTAAACGACTCTGACAAGCAAGGCTCATTTCCTTTTGAAGTTTGCTTTTTTCATGGTTTTCTTTCACTTGAACATAAGCAGTCAAGTAGTTATCATCTTCGAAGTTTTCCTTTACCACAACACAATTAATAACGCTCGGCGATGATTGAATGATTACTAATTCAATTGCAGATAACTCGATGCGTTGTCCTCGAACTTTCACTTGAAAATCTCGTCGACCAATAAACATAAGTTCACCTGATCCAAAATCTAACCGAGCTAAATCACCAGTTGCATAGCATTGCTCACCATTGATATCAATCAAAACTTGTGATGTCAAATCTGCTCTTCCATAATAACCAGCAAAAACACCAACACCTAAATCGATTATATCAAAAAATTATTGAAAACAGATAACTGATGACTAACCTCCAACGATAATTTCACCCAATTGACCAGGTATTACTGGTTGCCGATATTCATCGAGAAGATAAATTCGATAGCCAGTCATTGGACGACCAATCGGTAATGATGTGATTGTAGAAAGTTCTTCACGACGAACTTCGTAAAAAGTCGCTGCTTCTGTGATCTCTGCAGGTCCATAAGAATTCAAAATATGACATTGTTCACTGACAAATGGTAAAAACTGATGAACTGTTGAACTGAATAGTTGTTCACCTTCAAAAACAAAAAATACTGATCTAGCAGTTTGTTCATGTTTACGGCATTCAACAAGATAGTTGTTTCACTTATTACTCTATATTATCATGTTTATTCTTGCAATTTAAATTTCACTGTATAGGAAAACGTGAAGATTAAGCAGTCACGCAAAGCAAAGACAATGATCACATGCGTCAAGAGACACACATGAACATGTTGATATAAATCGTCAATTTCATTTCTATTGTATTCATTGATAATTCTAAGCGTAAAACTAAGATAAAACTGGGTGTTTCCAACTAATGTTTATTACTATTTCTGTAGTTATTTTGTACTACTTCTCCCAGCATCTTGAAACTTTCGACTATCAATCTCAATATCGTTTGTAGATATCGAACTTGCAATGTCAACAGACTATAAATGCATTGCCGTATGGCTAAAAAAAAAGGTGGATGCTCTATTCATTCGTGGGTTTTCCGTAGTCTACTCTGGTAGCATTCGATAATAATCCTAAGTACTTTTCTCTTCAGGGACTCGATCATAGGTATATGGCACAGTCTGATTATTGTTTAAGTGTTCGTGTACATTTATCAACAGATTTTTCTTCCTCTGTAGAATAGTATAAAAACCACATTTTCTCACCACGTCGTCAGACTTGATGCTGATAATTGAGCTTTGAAAGTAGAAAACTAGAGACTCGATCTTTCAATAACAAAATATAGGCTTTGATGCTTTCTTTGACAAAGGCTTCTAGGTTAACAGACTTACACTTAGAAAGGAATAAACTATTTCACTCGATACGTGCAAGTGTCGTTGCCTTTCAAATATTTTAGTCAAATTTGAAAAATGAAACTAATAGAACTTTCAGTCGGTTGAACAGATTACTATTGTAGCATCTTTTGGCCACAATCACAATGATGATGATCGATTTGAATATATACCAACTCAGAGAGCTTCTTTACCTCCTAGATACCATAAACGCACTTGTTTGATTCTCTCTTGAGCAGAACGATTCTCGCTGAGAAATTTTCCTAAAGCATTCATCCATGATGGAACTGGTGCAACAAAAGTTACATTCTTCTCGTGAATAACTTTTGTCACATAATCAAAATCAAGATGGCCTCCAGCCTTGAGTAAAACTAAATGACCACCTCGAACAAGTGCACCATTGATTTCATCCAAATGTACATCAAAAGAAGAACTTGCAAGTTGAAGAATGACATCATTCGTCTGTATGAAATGTGCATGCATGTAACCCATGAAGTTGCGATGTCGAATTTGAACTGCTTTAGGAATACCTGTCGATCCCGATGTGAACACAATATGGGAGATAGAATCAGGTGTTACATCAACTTTAGACAATTCTTCAATTTGAGCATCAGTCAAAAGATGATAGGATTCAATTACTTCAGAGATATCGAGAATGGGAACATTGAGTGAGCTTATGCATGAAAGTGACATCTGATTGACAAGTATGAGTTTAGTATCAACTTGATGAACAAGTAACTCAAGTCGATCAAGAGGATTACTTGGATTCAATGGAGCATAAACAGCACCTGACATCATAATACTCATTATACCAATAATCATTTCGATACTTCGATCGATATACTGACATACAATATCACCTGGATGTACTCCTTTATCATTGATTAGAACAAATGTTAGCTGTCGTACTTGATTAAGTAATTGATTGTAAGTTAGAGATTGATCATCAAGTGTAATAGCCACCTTATTTGGATGGAGAATTGCCTGTTCGATGAATGCTTGATGAATGCAAGTTGTAACATTCGATGTTATCATATAGTTATTTAGTTTTCGTAACATGTCTCGCTCAGTGGGAAGAAGAATCGAAAGTTCATAGATTGGTTGATTTTGTTGATCGAAGGTCGAGCAGAATAGTTGTTGACAGAAACAATGAAAGCGATGAGCTAAAGTTTCTATAGTCGTCTGATTGAAGAGGTTCGAACAGCCGTCGAACGTGCATACTATTACATTTAAACGTTGATCGTGCTTCACTGTAAGAGAGAAGTCGAATTTTGATGCAGTTTTACTGTCATGATTAGGACTTTTATCGATCAAAAACGGCATGAATTGTTCTAGTTGCGCATTGCCAAGCTCCACCAGATTACTATTCTGTGCATCGTTGTTGTTCATTTGAAAGTTGAAAGCTATATTGAGATAAACATCCGATGGCAATGCGAGTGTCTCTAGAATGCGCTGATATGGAAGATGGCTATATTTCATGCATTGATGACAGAGTTTGGCTACTCGATGCACACAATGTTCAAAATTTGCCCTTGGATCAAGTTGAAAGCGTAGTGGAATCCTACAATGCGATTCATTTCGATAAATATGGGTAGAATATGAATCTGACAATGAAGAACTTACAGATTAGTGAATGTGCCAATGATATCTTTCAGTTCGGATCTGTATCGACTATTGACATTCATGCCAACGCATAAATCGGTTTCATTGTTAACAAGCTTAAAGAGAAATACATAGTAGCATGTGAGCAATAGAGCTAACAACGGAATATCTGTTGCTGACGCGTAATCGACAAGTGCTTTGGCTACATCATCGATAAACTTCAAACTGGTCGTGTAAGCACTACCAATGCTTCGCTGATTAGACTTCTGTTGATGATCGATCGGTAGATTAAGGTGATGATTCCAGTCGTATTCAAACATGATTTCATGCCAAAAGCTGTTAGCCACTTTCATAGGTATGTGTTGTTCAGCGACAGCATCTATATCATTGGAATATCAAACATAATTGAATACGAACATAGGATGAAAACATTTCTAACTTACAATCAATGTACCGAATAACATCGGTATCCCATGGCGGTAAAGCTTCAGATTCATATGCAATATAAAGGTCTCGATGAAACACGCTCAATGATGGGAAGTCAAATGCACTTTGATGGAAATTGAAAAACAATGAATCTCCTGTTTGAAGAATGTCGTTGTCCTTGTTTTGATGTACAACAATGTGAACACGAAATACACAACCATAAGATAGATTGAAATTCAGAGGATTACTTAATTCGTTGAGTATAATAACTCTCAGATCATTGTTACTGTTGAATACACTCTTAACAAAGAAAAATAATTCTTCATTGTCGTCTCTTGGTTCAATAATACGTTGCATTAAACAGCCGGCTATGGAATCGAAAATAAGTGATGTTCGAAGTGAATGGTGCTTGAGAACGACGAGTCGAAGGGCGCGCCGAAGACGTTCAATTGAAAGAGTTCCTTCTGTTAGCCGATAGAAAAATGGCATATTGTTAATACCCATTTGTGGATCAGAATTGATATGTTCCTCGAACCAGATACGTTTTTGAGCGAATGAGGCGGAAGCTATAATGGAAATAGACAAAGTATACATGGATATCACCACAGGTCAAGGGTGAAAGTTGTACCTGTAAGATTAATTTCTGGTGCTGAACAAAACTGTTTATCGTGCATGTCTTCCATTATTTCATTCGGGAGAATCAACGACAGATCGCAGATTGATTGTTCTGTCGTCGCCGTCACCTTTGATAAGGGTGAAAACAATTGCTCAAAAATGAGTTGAAATCGTCTAGCGATGTTGATTATTGTGATTGAATCAAACAAATCATTTGAAGCGATCAATTCAGCGCGCAATGCATGTGTTTCGACTGTGTACTCCAAGGATAGTGTCATGTCAAACATACTCACAGCATTTACTGGCGTTCCAATCAGCGCAGTGTTATTGTTCAAACGCGATATAGACCAGGCATCGATCAATGATGTATCATTCAGTCGAATAGGTGTTATGGAAACTTCATCCAAAGTAAACATGGTTTGAATCAAGTTCCGTCCATGGATTTGACCCATCGGAATCTGTTCGATAATGGATTGATAAGGCAAATAAGAGTGCATATGTGCCTGAAATAATAACATCGATACTTTGTTAAGCAGTTGCTCGAATGTACCTTGTGGATCGATACGAACACGCATTGGAAGCGTATTTACAAACATACCGATAATACGTTGAAGTTCTGGTCGATAACGATTGGCATGAACAATACCCACAATAAGATCCCGTTGGCCACCAGTCAATTTAAACAAGAAGATATAATAAATTGTTAGACATACTTGATAAAGGGTTGTATTAAAATCTGAAGCATACTTGACTAGTTGCTTAACAACGTGGTTTTCAAAGTGTATTTCAATGCTGAGCCCTTGACCAGTCCGAATGCTCTTCGGAGAGAACTTTCGATCAAAAGGTAAATTCATTGGCTTGTTAAAGTTGTAGTCAAGTAGAGCTTGGCGCCAATACATTTTAGCCGTTGTCATGTCCATCCGTCGTTCATGCACAGAGTCTATAAGAATAGATGTTAGTGACACACACAACACAGAATGGAAACGCGATAGAGAACTTAGAACACGCTGTTGCTTTATTTTCTCTTTTGAAGGAGTCACTCTAAAACAACAAAGTAACGTTCTATGCGAACATTTTATTAGGTCCTCTCCTTCACTAGAGAAGGCATAAGGATGTTAGTTATCTCTACACCACTCACAGTGCAAAGAAGGAACGATTGAATGGTGACAAACAGAACTACTGTATGGAAGGAATAACATGATAATAGCAGTTCACAAAGTTTTGCTTCGGTTGCTGTTATTTATTAGATAATCTCTAGTACCTCTGCCACTCACATATCGATGATACATATATCACTGCTTGCTTAATATTAAAAAGAAGGGTGATGGATAGATCGAATGTTGCACTAATTAGCTTTGGTGCGTAACGAGACTTCGTCTTACATACGAAAGTCTGCGTAAAAGATAGAAAAGTGTACAAGGATGAGGTGCATATCCATCTGAAAACCATAAAATAGTTAAATTCATTTCTGTGAAAACCAACGCGGTACATGTCATCAAATGATTTATCGACGTAATTGAACGAAAAAAATGTAATCAAATATCCTTAATTTTGGAGTATTCCTTTGCACAAATAATTTCACTGCTATTTTTAGCGTTTCACAATTTCTAAAAATAATTATCTCATTGATTACCATGAAATACATAATATTTATTCTAACTGTAAACTCCTTTTTTGGTTTGTTAATATGTAGCCTATGTCAATATTTTCGAATCTGTTTTGGCCTCAATCGAAATATCCTGCTAAGCTCGATCTGATGTTGATGTTTTCGTCACGTGATAATGTGAGGGGATACCGGGGCTTATTTTTTTGGGATTGGGTGTGGGTGTGGGGGTGGGGGTGTGGGTGTGGGTGTGGGTGTGAGGTGTGGGTGTGGTTGCGGGTGTGGGTGT